TGCCCACCCCTCTCTCTCGTGCCGCAGCAGGATTACCACTAGCTCAGGCACGCAGCTCTGGGTGCTCTGAGGAGACACATTTAACACCTTTAAACCTAAAAGCGAAGGGGCTCTGGGCATCTGCAAGAACCCTCACTACCGGGTCCATTATTTTCTGCATTAACCTAGAAATAACCAGGCTGTCCAATACGAGCTCAGGGAGACAGCCCCAACCGTGGTAGCTGAAAGCAAGCTAGCAAGAAGCAGAGAAGCACCAGAAGCCAGCGGAAAAGAAGTCCAGATCTGGCCAAAATGCAACCAGCCCTGTCCAGTGATGTGCAGAGGATCGGTGGGAGCAGCCACAAAAAATGAAAAAAGGCTGTCACATTATTAGAAAGAACAAGCCTTTTCCCAGCTCATTGCTCATTCTTGCAAGGCAGGGTTTGTTTGATTTTGTTTGTTTGTTCATTTTTGTTCGTTTTTACTGGAAGGCCAGACTAGCTAAGCAGCACTAACCCCAGAAGGTATTTGCAGAGGGACAGCCCATGGCCTTCTCGGTTGGCTGACACAGCTCAACTACCACCAGCGTCCACTCAGTGCAGCCCCTGTTCCAACACCGCCCTCTGCATCCTCATGCTCGCTCTCCTGCTGCGACGCCCGCCCCAGCTGCAGCTCCTCCCCACAGCTCACTGGTTTTGCTGGCCGTGTTTTCTCTCTTCGCCTTCGTTATGGCCAGGAGGTGACAAGCAGAGCAAAGAGCAGCAGCCAACTGAGCGCAGGTCCCACGCTGCCGCTGGCGAGGCCACCGGCATCACTGCGCACATTTTTTATTGTAAGCAAACTGAACAGGGGTACCAACCAGAATCGGGCCTGCATCCAAAAAAACCCCAATGTTTAGTAATTTCATGCTGGGACACACGTTTTCCTGCAGTCACAAGAAAAGGCAGGCCCAGAGGACCTGAGACAGGCCTTCCCCGAGCACAAAGATAGATTCGCTATAGCTGTGTCCAAAGGAGGGAAGCCGTTATGACCTCACATACTCTAAAAGCCACAACTAGGAGCTGACAGGGAGAAAACAAGCCAACCACCTTTAAGTATCTACAGGTCTATAGAAATGACAAGAAGAAGTGGTGTGCCATAAATGAAGCACGAGCATGGCTTTCAGTGGAGCTTGGAAAAGAGCGTTATCAACCATTTAATGGTGGAGATGTGGAACATACAGCACGTGCAGCTGAAAGCAGGGCCAGGGTGTGAACAGGCCGATAACCCAGACCGCAAGGAGTGCTCAGTCACCAGTACCTGCTCCCGCAGTGCAGGACGAGAGGCAAGTCAGAGCAGCACCTCGCGGGGACGCAGGCTGGTTACAAAAAACGGAGGAGGCTGGTTCATGCAGTGTGAAAATGCACACCTTGATTCCTTTTGCATAGAAGCTTACGGGAGAGGAAAGTATATTTAAAAATATTTAAATACAATGAATTCAAAATGCATATATTCAAGAAAGTCCTTTTTGTCCCACCACTAGATCTTCACAGAAATTGACCTGCAGCAAGGCTGGCACTTTAGCACCACATCAAAACACTAAATTACAAAACAAAACAAGAAAGCAACAAGCCAAAAAAAGTGTGACCACCCAGCATAGAGTGCAGCAGAGCCCCAGAGGCAGCACAAAGGAGAAGGGCACAAGCAAGAACTACAGAGCACCAGAGCAGCTTGGGCCACTGAGAAAGAACAGCCCTGGGGACTCACCTTGTTCCCCAGCCCTTCAAGCACATTCCCTATTAGGAAGCCTCTTCTGCACTCCTATGCCAGATTTAGTTTCCATGTCACAAAGCAAAAAAAGGGCAGAAGCAGTTCTTTTCACTGAGCCCTACCTGGGCATTCTCTGTTCTTAGCAAGCCGTCCTTCTGGCTGATGGATAGTGTGTTCACGAGAGAGGGAGAAACCCAAGGCCTTCTCCAACAGTGTCTGCTTGGAAAGGAAAATCTCCTCCCTCACTCCACAAATCTCGTGCTAGGCTGTGTGAAAGGGAGCCAAGCAACAGCCTCATCTCGGGCATCGCCCGCAGCCAAGAGGTGTCCGCGGGCTGGCACGCGGAGCAAGGCGAGCGCGCAGCTGCCAAGCAAGGGAACTGCAGCTCAGCAACACATGCAGCGGGAAGCACTCGCCCTCGGCAAGCGGGCCAGAGGTAATAAAGCTTGTAACCAAGATTAAATAAAACTGTAAACCATCATTTGAGAAAGGATGAGAACTAGAGGGTTCATCATGTTACAGGACACAGAGAGTTTGTATCACCTGCTGTTTTTGTGTGCTTTGGAAGAGGCTGTCTTCAAGTTTCAGCGCTGATGATACCTAGTTTAGCTCTCCATTTTTTTGACAGCTTAGCCTCGCTGTTCAGATAGCTCCAGGTGGGATGCCCAGACTCCAGAAGTTTAAAGGAACATGCACTTTTTTTTTCACATTATCAGCCCAAGTCTAGGTGTTTCATTATATATAAGGAAGGACCTGATTTGTGGCCCTAGTCCTGCACATTTCAGATAGATAGATAGGGTAGTATTATTCCCTTACCCTCATTAGCACTGCAAGGAGCAATGCTTTGATCTGACACTTAATATTAGGAGGCCAAATGCCTTGGGCTTTGCAGGAGCGAGCATCTGCAACCTAAACCATGCCTCAAGATCCAATATCAGGATCGTCCCACTAAGAAAAGCTTCCAGCACTGTGGGGCACGGGGTATCTATTATCACATTTGACAGAGATCGATGGCTGCGTGTTGCACGTTCTAAATTTCCAGACAGCACAATCTGGAAGAGAAGGACAGAAATGCCTCCAGCAGCTATTTAAAGTCACCAAATATTCTAGTGTGTCTGATGGCAAGGGGCAGAGGAGTATTTCATGGCAGATAACAGGAAGCCTTACAGCATGGTCATACACACTGCGGTGATTTTGTCTCAACAGTATTAAACTAGGTTTTCATGAGTTTGTAAGTCTTACACAAGCTTGAGACCTGCTTACAAAACAAGTGTGAAATACATAAGCAGGGATAGAAATCTGATTTGCACAGTGCTATGTCCTATACAACATAAGGATACGCAAACATACGCACGAACATAGTCGCAACTCCAGGGTGGACAACAGCGGAGAAGTAGGCCTATTCTGCTGCTTTTGCTAGAAGGTCTCCTGCTCTGGGCTTTACTGTATCTGAAGTACTGGGTTGTTCCTTCCCAGAAATCCTCCCAAATTTCTGAGGCTTCATTTCTGAGGGATTCATATTCAGAGGGCCCCAAAATCCAGTCGCTGCTACACTGCAAATAAATACAAACTTAAAAGTGGGCTGCAATTTGCATAATAAAACTCAATCTATCTATCATCTCGGCTACCCAGCCTTCAGTAACGCAGTGAAACAGAGGTGCCTGTCACTACCTGCCACCAGGCACCAGCCAACATGACCAAAATGCTACAGTGCTGTTATCTCCAAGTGCTCAGAGACGACCTCTCACTGAGCAAACACAGGTCCTAGGAGGTATTCGAGCAAGTCATCTTTGGCAAATCATCTAGCCTTGCACTGTGCTGGCAGGCGGGTGACACAGCCATCCTTCCAGCAGGGCCGCATGACCACGGCGGGCCCAGGCCATGACAACATCTGCCTCACGAAGGGAAGCCCAGGGGTGCACTTCAGCCACATCAGCCAGCAGCAGGACCCTATGATTAACGAATACATGTGAGCCTCTGCTTGACCCAATGAGCCCGAGGCTCCTCACTTTTGGCTTCTTTCTGCCAGGGACAAGAACTGCCACACAATGGCAGCATGGGCTGATAAACACTTCATTTCTAGATCTGTGAATATTTTACAACACTGTGTAAAATACCCCGTTTTACACAGGCAGAAACCAAGCCTCAGGGAGGTGCTGCAAGTTACTCAGAGTTAGTAGAGCAGGGACAGACCTGGCAGCATAAGAGTTTGCCAAGGCCCTGGCCATGCAAACGGGCTGCCTGCCTTCCAACAGGCCCTCTGCTTGCAATAACGCAAGAACATCCTGCTGCTTTTGGAGCAATTTGCCCAGCACAAGGCTAAAGGGTTTCAGTCATCAAACATGGTGCTCAAGCAAACTCTCAGCGTGGCAGCAGCAAGGCCAACACACTGAGCCCAAAGAGCTTCAAGTCTCCAACTCCGCACACGGGGAGCTAAGGAAACAACTGCACCCCTCTGTATAGAAGACAGTACTGAGCAAACTGAAGCACCCTGAAAGAAACACCTCCAGCCCACTTTTGGGGGACAAAGTGAACAGCTAGTGCCAGAGCCTGTGTGAACTGCTGTGAGGCAAGGGACACCGCTGCTCCCAGGGACGGGGCCGTTCCCGGGCCAGGGGAGAGAGAAGCTCCAAGGCCCGCTTAACAGCAGCAGACATACGTATTTGGAACAGTTATTCATTTACAGCCTCATAAATTAGTGAGCCCATAAAACCAGGAGCCTCGAGGAAGGAGATGCCAAAACTCTGCCATGCAAACCATGTTAATTATGATAATAGGCAGATTTTAATAAGCCAGTTCCTGGCTGTCACCCTGCCACCCATAAAATGTGCATATTTCCAAGGCCAGGGGATCTCAGAAATATCTGCCAGCCACCTAATTGTCTAAACCCCGCTGGCACAGAAAACATGCAAGAGGGCTCGTCACACCCGTAATCCCTCTGCGTTTTTCTAGTCAAAAGATCAGATGAAAGAACCCCTCCTCTGCAAAACTTGATCTAGTTTGAGGAATGAGACAACTGTTTCAGCACAGGCGGTGGTAACGGTGAAGGAGACAGCGGGGCAGGAGGAGGGAGACGCAAGAGCGCTCAGCTTCCTCCTCCAAGCGTCGGCACGAGGGAGCTCCTGGATTCCCGGCTGCGCAGCCCTGGCAGCTGACGCCGCTCCTGCTCTGGCGCCCTGGCGAGGAGTCAGGCTGCGTGCGCCCAACATCTGCGCGGCGCGCGCGGGAAGCCAGTCCGTGCGGAGCACTCGAGCGCGGGCAGCGAGGTCTGCTGGCTCGGCTAGGCCTTCAGCTCCCGCTCAGGTTTCATGCGGAGGGCCCCCAGCCGCTCGCTCTCTGGCAGCATGCTGTTCAGCCGCTCCATGAGCGGCACGGTCTGGTCGATGCCCATCTGGATGCGGCGCAGGATGGCAGACATCTCGTTGACCTTCTGGATCTGCTCCGCATACTTGGCATACCTCTTCTGGCGCTCCTGCATGAAGCTGTACAGAGTTTCCACAGAGAGATCCATCTGTTTAAAAACAACAAACGGAGCGAGCTGTGTTAGGCCAACTGTTACCCCAAGCCTTTCAGCACAATATCTTTCCTACAAATTTCCATGAAGCATGCTAGCAGCCCACAGGAACCCCTCTGCTGGCCCATGACCAGTTGGTCCTGAACATGAAACGGCATAATTCATAGTTGTTTGACATGGAGGGTGCATGACCACCTAGCTCTACACCCGTACACTTAATATTGACCTACTAATTCTTTATTTACAGGGGTTAGTGCCAACAAGCACTGGCAGGGATATCCTAATAAACCATAAGAATATCCGAACTCAGTGAAATGGTGCCTTCTCCCTAAAGCTGTACATTTTCAGTGGAGATTGTTCACCTGAAAGCATTAAATTCCACCTTACTTGCCAGGGCTAATTTCACTGGCTTAGCAAGGTTACATGGCAGCTAAGTTCCTGGTGTTACTGCCTTCCTCGTCTGGGAAATGCCTGCCTTGAAAAACCACAATACGTTACTAGTGTCCCTAATTTCCCTGAATCCTAAAAATAAAAGTGTTATGAGTGACCCCAGGAGAAACATTAAGTAAATCAGTCATACAATTAAACATGGTAAGTAGCAAAACACGGCCGGAGCACTATTACAATCACAGGAACCGCAGTTCCTGCCATTCCTGCCATTTCTGCCACCAAGCTGTGAGGATAACTTTTGTAATTCACAGTCTAACTTTCTCTTCTGCTGTATCTGTATATTCGAGGAGTTCATCTGATCCCTTAATACTTCACCCAAAACAAGCTCAGTCATTATTGCTTAAACTGTTCTGCACATTGGAAGATCAACCATACACCTTTTCACTCATAGCACTCTGTAAAAAAAAGAAAAAACACCTAAAACCCAGTTGCTACAGTTCTGTTGGCTATTCAAGCCCTGGTATTTCAGAGTTGCAGGCGCATGTCTGACTCCAAGCACACGGTGCTAGTGAAACAGGAGATTCTCCTCAGCCAAGGCAGGATGAGCGCTGGGGACCAACTCTCACTTCGGCAACAGTGGTGACCCAGCATGTGCCCAGGGAAGCAGCAGCCAAGGGAAGGGGAGAAACCACATGTTGGGTAGTTTTAGCCCTCTACCTCTTGTATTCCTCAGCATGTTTCCACATCTCTCCCATCACTCACCATACCAGAGGAAGAAGGTTTGTCACGAAGCAGCCCCCCATCAGGTCCTCAGAAAAAGAAAGCGCGGGTCCCACCAGCATCACTGGTTTTAACTCACTAGCAGAGTCAACCCATTTGGTGGCTTGGGGAGGTGACAGCATCTATCATCAGGGACTTAAAACAGCAGAGCACGCTGACCCGATGTCATTGCACACTTTTACACACAGTGCACATGCGCACGTGTAATCGTGGCCCAGTGCTCAGTGGCTGGGGTCTGTATTAGGAGAGGATTCCCTGGAAAGGCGAAGGGCAAGGGGCTTCCCTCAGGGGAGGCTAAGAGCTTCCACGCTGTGGGGTGAAACCCCATCGCTGTCACCAGCAGGACAGCAACACCCAGAGAGAAATGGGGGGGCTGGCCTCTCTTTCCAGCTCCGAGGAAGGGGTAAATGCAAAAACAGTCATTAAGAAAATGCTTTATTGAGAAATGTATGTTTCAAACTGCATTAAAAACAAATACCCAAGTTTCTGCTGAACTGACATGGGGATTAGGAAGTTATTTTTTCCATCACCTCCATCAGAGGTGGATACAGGATCAATTAACCTTTTATTTCTTCTAGATTTTCTGTTCTTTCAGGCTGAAATCTTCCCTTTGGCCTCTGTGCTTTCCTGTGAATTCCTCCTTCTACACTTTCAGGCATGGAACAAAATAAAAACCATTGGAACAGGAAACTCCAAATAGAGTGGAAACAATTTAAGCTTACATAGGGGTTTCTATTAAAAACCTAGCTTAATAATTTAGTAGTTTGGCACTAGCTCTGCAAATTAGACTGTGTGAAAGCAGACCACCATCAGGTCTGCACAGGATGGAAGTAAATTCAATCCAGTACCTAAAAACATCCTACCTAATGAGAGACAGCAGCTGGAGTCCCTTCAAAAGTCAGCATGCCTCATGGAGCACAACAGAACAGGGACTGAAGCACAAGTCTGCCCTGGTTTTAAAGTTTTCTTCTACTGACAGGTTTTTTCGCATGGCCTCTCACTTCTATGCAAGAGGCAAATCTTTTATCTACCCAGCTCTGAAATAACAATAACAACAACAAATTTCCATCCCTATTCTCTCAGCATCAGTCCTGCCTATTTGTTGACTCTTAGGCTCCTCGCAAACACGTGTGAACATGAGTAATGCCCACCTAGGAGAAGAACCCAGAGACGGTGACCTGCAAAAGGAAAAAGAAACGCAGAGTGGCCTTCCAAGCTCTTGGCTACTTTTGGATAAATTCACAGTGTCTGTAAAAAAAGCTGTCCCACAAAAAAAGGAAAAAAGAGAAAGCGGAGAAATGCGTTCTTGCAAGGGTTTCCCTATATCGAGTATTGAAGTTTGTCTGCCATGGAGGCCATGGCAACTGCACAGCTAGCAACCCTGGAAGCTGCGAGAAACACAGTTGAGTATCTGGGAGGAAAGGCCAATTTTTACTCAAACTGAATTTGCTCATTTTAAAAGGAGGAAAAAAAGAAAGAAAACCATGTGTTAAGACGGCCATGGCTTCCCTTTGCAGTGCCAATCCCTTTGCAGCTTTCCTTGAAACAGGTCTAAATATGCACTTAGCTCCTTCCTGCCTCCCCCCCATCCAAGTGAGCTCCCTCCAGTGCCAAACCTTGTGCTTTTGCCTCTCCAATTTCTCCAACACCCAGAACGGACCTTGAGTTTGCAGGACTCAGGGGGGTCAACCATAGACCCACACAGAGTCTAAAACCTGTCTTGCTGGAATCTGTGATGGACAGGGAATGTACATAAGAATCTGCTTAATCCCAGTACTGTTTAACTCCCTGCAGTGGCAATAAAAAACATCTGGAGGAATGGAGCTTACGCAAGAGCCGATTTGTTTGCATGCAGCCCACGATTTTTCAAGACATCTCAAAAGGACAAGACAGACGAGTCTGCCCTCCCAGATCAGCCCCCACCATTTCCCACCTCTAGGGACCAAGTCTACCAGAGCGCCTGCGCTAGGCCAAGGCTGAGGCCTCAGCCTTGCTGCCTGTCCCTGGCTGGAAAGCTCTCTGGGCAGCCTGGGTGGATTCACAGATATGGCAGCTCCTTTACCACCCTAACTTCAACTTGCAGATGCAAATGTTTGTTCAAGCCACTGTTTCTGCTCTGCTCGCCTGCGGCTTCCTACCAAGCTAGGCCAGCACAGTCACTAGCAGCTCCCCAGCGGGCAGGCCACCATTGTGTCCTCGCAAGCTGTGATGGACGTGGTGCTGCCCTGCCACCAGCCCCTCCAGGGTGCCACCCCCGCAGCAGCCAGCTTGCCTTGGAGTTCAAGAATTCCTCTTTCAAAATTGGTGGCAAGTAACCAGTTCACGGGTAGGGAAGACAAATTGAGAGACTCAAAGGCTGGAGCTGAAGCCTGTTAAAACTGAAGGGACAAGACCGAACCAGTAGAGTCAAGCATGGAGCTATCCAACCTGCTTAACAGACAAGATGAGAACTCTTGAATAGGTCTTGGAAAAAGGGAAATCTGTTCTTAGAGAAGGGGTGAGAGCACTTATTACACTTCCTATATTTTTTCCAAAGCAATTTGTCCTATCAAAGCACAAAACATGAGACTGGGCATCCTGAGATTAGAAGACAACACTTTTTTTCCCTCTTGCAATCTATGAAACATTTTTTCAACTTTCATTTCATGAATAAAATGTATTGAGAAAAAGGACAAACCTGAAACTCACCTTCCACCATAATACGTTTTTTTTTTTCCCCCGGTCAGTGATATTCTGAAAAAGGATCCAAATTCTAAAACCAGGACTCCCCTATAGATCGACATAAGTGAGATAAGAATTCACGACTTATCCTCCTTATTTTGAGCATGAAATGACATCTAGCAGGCCTTCCTTTCTTCCCATGAAAACAGATTCATAATTACTTCCAACCACAGTGCAACTTCAGTAGATGCTTCCCCACCCAAACGGCTCCGCAGGGCCTGTCCGCGCTACACCAGGCACAGGCCGAACCAGCAAGGCCTTGGAAGCTCTCTGCCTTACACAGGCCCACTTGTAACCCGCTGACAAAGCACAAAAGCAACTGAGGGCACTTTCAGACAACTGCACACCATGCATTCTTGCATTTATTTTAGAATTCTTTTTCCCACACTGCCAAGCAGAATAAAGACATTAATTTAGCCCACCCAAGACTGAGGTCAGCACTGGACACTGCCCAGCTCTTCTTGAGGCCATGTTCAAAACAAACCCAATCTCTATACACACACACACACACACACACACACACACCTCTTACCTAGTGCAATACTGCAATATTGCAGGACATCTGGCATGGACATGTTAGTGTCCTGAGCTCTGAGAAATAGAGGCCACATCTTTTCAGTTCAATGACTGGAACTGAAAACTGCAGCCAGACACATTTTCGGTAATTTCAGAATTAAAAGAGGTGCATGCAAACATCATCATAAATTCATCAAACTTGGAACCAGACGCATTGGCATTACTGACATCGGTAACAAACCGATACATAATCATAAGAAGATCCTCTGCCCACCCACCTTCTCCATTCCCTCCTTAAAAAATGGCACTGAGGCAAAAAGATGCTTTGCTTTTTTTTCCCCCCCATTCAGTAATTCAGCCTTCCAGAGCTCAGCTGGATGTCCACTCTTTTACTGTGGCTCTGTTCTAATCATTTCCTCCCATCCTCTATGGCTGTTGCTCAAAACCCACCACAATTAGGACATAATCCGCATTGCAGAAAGCTACAGCAGCACTCCTGGCACAAGTGACCTTTCCATCCGCTATGTCAGGTGCCCAGTGGGGTTTCGATGAGCTCCTTCCAGCAGCTGTACAAAAGTCACATCTGAAAG